TTTGTTAGGCTTAACATCGACGAAAATTCAACGCGAAGCGACACGCAACGGATAAAAATTTCGACATGGGATAAGTTAAACTATTTTTTCGTACGTAAATCAGTTATTCGAAATATCAGTTATCCGGATAACCCCAGTCCCCAATTGATTCGGAAAATCGACACTCTACTGTATATAAAAAAAACTATACTATTACATACAAATAAAAACCCAGCGAAGTGGGATCTTGCAGCTAGTAGTATATAAATTTATTCTATTATATTTGTATATTTTACATATGTTGAAATTTAAAATAATACAATACAATACAATTTTTGCATTCTTTGCTAATAAAATATTGTTGCTCAAGAACAGGCCCGGCCAACCCGTGGCCCACATGCGGCCCATCATGTTAAATTGTGTGGCTTGTGTATGAATAGAGTTAGCATAAGTATTTTGTCGGGGTGAGTTAAATCTGTATCATGTATAAGGAAGCAATCATATATCTATTAAAATTCTTGTTTCCCATTATGTGTATACCAAAACAATTAAATAAATGAAAATTTGCATATGTCATTGTTATAATGTGCAAGTGCGAGTACGAACTTTTGGTATAACAATAAAATATTATTCATTTTGTATTTGTTTCACTTTTTTAAAAGCCTGTTTTCCTAAATTGTGGCCACCGTAATGTTACACGTGATCAAAGTGGCCCACAAAACAATTTGGGTTGGCCAGGCCTGCTCTAGAACAATTTTTTTCAACAAGACCGGTGCTCCCCCATCAATACTGTCCCACTTCACTAATGTTAAAATCTAGTCACCTTTAGCTGTAATTACAATCATTGGGTTAAAATTACATGAAGTAAACATATTTTACAATTTAGTTGATTTTATGAAAATATAAGAAAATTAAAACCTTTTTTTTAATAGGGGTAAATTTAAAATTATAGTTAATAAAAGTGAGCAATACATCTAAACAACACACAAGCCAAGCTGATTACAGTACAGGAGGTGTAATTGTATAGTAAATTGTATAGTACATACCAAAGGGAGTGTACCTGGGTGCCTTTTAGCAAAGAAGTATTGTGTCCAAAATTTTATCAGTTTCTAAGCCCTAATTTATTTTTTTCCCGTTAGGAATTTTTCTATTTTCTAAATGTTCACCAAGTTTCCTTAAAGTTAAATTTTGTTCTTTCTTTAAAATGTTAATACTATTCACATTTATATCACAGGTGTTACAATGTAATGCTGCAGCAGAATTTTGATAATTGCATTTTACAGCTCTTATATGTAGGCTACATGTAATAATATCTACCTGTTTTGCCTATGTAAATTAAACTAGGTGTACAACTGCAATTAAATTTATATATAACACCTACTTTCATTAGGATGTCTTTATTAGTGTATTATATTTTTAATGGGATTAAGTAGTTCTTTAAGTTTTGAGTATTTAGGGATAGAACAATATTATTTCAAAAGTAAATGATATTGTAGTTTTTCAAATAAGCATTCCGTATTACAGATTTTTATGTTTGTGTTTTCAGATTGTGTATTTACTTTTAGCTATTTATTTAACAATATTTTTGGGTAATCATTTAATATAAACATTTTTTTGTATTGTTTTTATTTTAGTCTTCTGTATTGTTATATTAGTAGTATGCATTCTAATTTTATTTATATATATCTGAAATATTTCTTTTAATGTGTAAAGGATTATTTGAATAATAATTAACTGTCCCTCACTTAGGCGTGCTTCTAAGTGCGGGACTGGTTAATAATGGCTGGTGTATGAGCATACATTAGCCATTTTTAAATTTATGTAGTTATTTGACTGTTTAATGCATGGTTTAGAAAAATTCATGTTGTTTCTACAGATAATAACATGTAAAAAGTTAACATTTCTTGTAGACTCTATTTCTATATTAAATTTTAAATGTGTATGAATAGAGTTAGCATAAGTATTTTGTCGGGGTGAGTTAAATCTGTATCATGTATAAGGAAGCAATCATCAGTGTATCTAATTATAAAAAGTAACACTCTTAACTTGCTCAGGAAATTATCAGGTTCAATCATAGTTCTTCTAATTTGGAACCAATACAGGAGCCCATGAATATACCATCTAGTTGACGGTAATAAACACTATTACTAAAAAATAATTATTCTCTAAATAAAAATGAATCTAAAACCCAATAATCACAATTAAGACCATGTAGTGTGTTAGTAATAAATTGTATTGTAATTAACAGGTACATATTTTTGACATCGAGACTCAACATTCTGTAACTAGTACAGAAAGGAATATTTTTAATGTTTGTTAAGAATTCTTCGGTACTTTTAATGCTATAAGTAGAATTATCGAATTGATTTAATATTGTTTTAATAGATTTTTCTAATTCCATACTTCTAAATCTGTGTGTGTTTTAACTCTAATACTGAGTCTTGGTGTCCTATTATTATAAGATAAAATATAATTAATCCTATTTTCATCCGTCAGTTTATTTTTGCATATCAACTTAATCTTTTTCTCGAATGCTTCATGTAACTCTGAATAAAGGTCAGTAGATAATTCAAGCTAGGTAGAGGGATTTGTAATATTGTTTAATACTGATTTGGTAATATTAAATATTAATAAATACCAATGTTTGCTTTTATCAGTCTGCAAAACCCCTGCAAAATTTCTAAATTTTTAAACTTCTTTTTGAAATTTATAAAAATGCCTTTCATATAAGTAAGATTAATTTTTAATCACAAAAGTAGATACATTTATATAAACTCGTAGGTTTCCTTTAATATTTGGTGTAACTTTACTTAATGCATATTCTATATTAAGAACTCTCTCACTCTTCATATTTAATTTTCTTAGGTCCACTGTAATCGAGATGTTTAAGTAGTAGGCTTTTAATATTTGATGGAATATTGCAGTTTGAATTATTAATCAGTAAATTATTTCCCCAATTTAGTTATTGTTGGGTATTATAATTTTTTTATCTAGTTAATTATACAATTACTAAATACAATAATCTCTTAAGATTTAATTTAAATCTAGAATTAATACCTTTTCTAAGATTCTCAGCACAAAACCTTTCTCACTAATTTCTAGCCTTATTAACAGGAGTACAAACGTTTTTGGCCTTCTTAATAGGCCTTCCTCAGGTACACTGTGTATCGGGTACGTTTGTACTCCTGTTAATAAGGCTAGAAATTAGTGAGAAAGGTTTTGTGCTGAGAATCTTAGAAATTGTTCTAGCTACATATGCATAGTAATACCTTTTTTTTTTAGCATTAACCTTAATTTTTTAAACTCTATATTCCTTATATTTAATTATCAATTTTATGATCAAATAGTTAATTATCTTGGCTATTGCAAGAACATGCAGTCATCAGAATGGTAAATTTCGGAATTTCTAATTTTTTTTTATACATACATTCAAATACAAAACATCCACTAACAGCACTTTATCTTCAGTATTCTCATCACTCCTTTGATTAATACTTAATTAGAATAATATTCCTTCAATGAGTATTACGATTCATATATACTTGTTATTACGGTTGAGGCTTATTCACAAAAATTGTGGAACACTATTTGGATGCAATCACACAAGAAATAAAGCTAAAAACTGAAAGTTTTCAGTTTGTAATATTGTCACAATTGATTTTGTTGTACAAATATGTTTAACTGTTGATATAAGAAATATTATCTTTTCATAGTCTGTATGTGAAAGATTTAATTTTACTTTATTAATACATTTTAAATATTTACTTGCAAATAGGTATGGCATCAGAGATTCCATGCATTTTCTCCAACGACCAAATATTTTGGTTTTTGTTTCAATTTTGCATTCCATACTTAATGAAGGCCAATTTTGACTGTGATAGAATGATTGACACACTAGCAAGTCAAAAAATTTTCACACAAGGCATTGTTACATATTTATCTGTAAGTATAAGATAGCTTTGTTTTATAAATAATTCATAAATGATTTATAAAATTATTCATTAAACAAAGATGGTGCCTAATGCCTACCTCTAGTCCAAATTACTAGACATTTACTTAGTTCAGTGATTCTCAAGCACTGTGCCATGGCACTTTAGTGTGCCGCCACTGTGAATACCCATACATAAGCGACGTCAGACAAGTAGTTCAACTAGTTCTAACTTGCTAAGGCACATTTGGAAATTGTAACAGGTGTTACCGGTAACTGCCAGTAGTTACCAAGGCATTTAGAAAACATGATCTAAATAACTGCGTTTAAAAATCACTGTTATGATGTCACCTGTTGTGCTGCGGTACTTATCAAAGTAACCGCGTGTGCTGCCAAATTTTTAAATCATTAAAAGTGTGCCATGATGAAAAAAAGGTTGAGAATTACTGACTTAGTTATTAGTAACATTAATATAGCCTGATTTAATCCACAATTATTTTGCNCCTTTTAATATTTATATGCTTGTACAATTGTCTCTTATAATTATTTGGTTTCTTTTCTTTATTTTAATAGTATGTAATTTTATTTTGCAACTGTTTTTATTAACATATTCAGCTACTGCTGAATTTACATAATTTCCTCTTATTGCACATATATGTTTCCTTTATTCTTATCTCTAATTTATGTTTGGTTTCTCCGATATATGTTTTACTAGTGTTACAACTGCAATTAAAAGAATAAACTACAGTAGAGCCTCGAAAACTCGGCACTCGATAACCCGGCACTCCGGATAACTCGGCCACACCCTGGCAGGGCAAAAAAATCCTTAGTTAATTAATTTTCATTATAGACAGCTTTATAAAAGTATAAAAGCTCTCATAAAGTATTTTTCTGAGGTCTNAATATTGCAATTTGAATTATTAATCAGTAAATTATTTTTCCAATTTAATGTTTTAGTTATTGTTAGGTATTATAAATTTTTTATCTAGTTAATTATGCAATTACTAAATACAATAATCTCTTAAGATATAATTTAAATCCAAAATTAATACTTATTATTGGCTTATTGTCCTTATTTCAATGCTTATTATATTTGTCAACTTGGACTTAACACCAGTTTAACAGTCCTATTAATAATTTAAGTGTGAGATTCGAATTACCCCTGGGTCTAAGTAACAATTTAAAATTAACATTAAAATTATAAAGTAAAATATTCTTTTATTTTGGTGTGAAAATAACGATTTCTAATGTGGGAAAACTGATAAAAGATCCACTTCCTTTAACGGAAGTTGAAGCATCCTTTGTTTTCCACTTATCTAACACAAATCTCACCACACTGGGAATTGCCGACCCCTCAATAATTCTCCTTTCCATGCGTTCACGTGAGTGAAGACAAATAAGCTGATTGGTCACAAATCATGAGATATAGTCAAAGATCTGCATGATTCGGGGAGTATGTCCAAAGATCTCATACAGAAAGGAGGTATCCCATATTGTCTCCCTAAGGCCAACGCCCTTAGTTAGGAGTATGCCGTAAGATCTCAGAGAAGATCGACGTAGTCTATATTTGTTCCACCAAAACCTTTAGTTTCCTCCAGTCAAGTACACTAATGAGTAAAATTAGGAGAATAGAAGAAAATATATAATTTTGTGCCAATTCAGGACTTCTCCATAAAATGAAGTAGGATCATCTAGAGTACAGAAGAAGATTCAAGATAAAGTAAATTGAGGTAGATGTTTATACATGAATTTGTGAGCTCTCTCTCTCGAAGTGTATATTTTAATCAATCGCTTATTATTTCATTTGTTTAATTATATCTTGATTCATTCCATTTATGTAATTTTATTTACTTTTATTTTATTAAATCTTTTATTATTTGTTTAAGAAATGTCTCTTAATTGTTATCTGAATCAAAACTGAGTATCTCCACACGCGTGTTAATCCGCATATCTAAATTTGATTAACTGGTGTCAAGGAATCCTGACGTAGATCTAGACTTCACAGTCCGGATCGTTTTAAATATTAATAGCCCTCCTAGAAAAAGATTAGAGATCAGATCTCTCGATCCAAAACTTCGAGAACTATTCTCACAGAATAGATGCCTACTAAGTGATACAGGAGTAATAAACTACCCTGTACCACAGGCTAGATCTCACATAAGTATTAATGCAAAATTGAGCAAAAGTTCTCAAAGAAAACAAACTTCCTTTATTGAGCCTCTTGTACGCATACTTCTGTTCACAACTGTGTTTCGAGCTATCACACTCCTCTTTAGCAAGGTTACAATGGCTATCACTTTTTAACTACAAAATAACAAAAGTATCAATAAATTTTAAGACACTAAAAACTATTAAAATTAATTTATACAATATAAAAGGCTTACGAAATACAAGAATCCAACTCCCAACAACAGTGGGCTTTTTGATGGAATTTTAAATTGATTCATTATCCTATTATAAGAATTAAAATTACATTGAAAAATAAAATTACTCAAAAAATTATTCCTAAGATGTGATTAAAAGGAGGTTTTTTTACCTCTACAATGTTCAGCTTGAACTTACAATACTTTCGTGTGTTGAGTGCGCTATAGTTTTTTACTTGCAGTCGTCATCGAGGATGGCTACCCATGATTGGTTAATTATTCTACCTAAATTATTGTTTATTCTGTTTTTTTTCCTTTTAATATTTATATGCTTGTACAATTGTCTCTTATAATTATTTGGTTTCTTTTCTTTATTTTAATAGTATGTAATTTTATTTTGCAACTGTTTTTATTAACATATTCAGCTACTGCTGAATTTACATAATTTCCTCTTATTGCACATATATGTTTCCTTTATTCTTATCTCTAATTTATGTTTGGTTTCTCCGATATATGTTTTACTAGTGTTACAACTGCAATTAAAAGAATAAACTACAGTAGAGCCTCGAAAACTCGGCACTCGATAACCCGGCACTCCGGATAACTCGGCCACACCCTGGCAGGGCAAAAAAATCCTTAGTTAATTAATTTTCATTATAGACAGCTTTATAAAAGTATAAAAGCTCTCATAAAGTATTTTTCTGAGGTCTGTCTTATNTTTTAATCCAGAAATTATCTAATTATTCAATTTTTTACAAGTGATGTGAAAATTTCTATAGGTGTGTTCATAAAATAGCTTAATAATGTTCATAATACTGTAGAAGTTGTAAACATTGTAAAATAGTTTAATTTATTTATTTACCCTCGCTGGTCACGTACGTCATTCTTGAGTACAATGAGTAACTTATACGGCTAGCAGAAGTATATGTCTGACGTCTGAATTCATCAGACGTCAGACGTGTACTTCTGCTAGCCGTATAAGTTTGAAGTTTCGACTTCGGTTGTATCTAATAATGAAATTTTTTTAACTTTAATTGAAACAAAGAGGAATAGCATTATACAGTTAGGAAAAGTTAATTGTGTAATTTTTAAACAGGATATATTTATTTGATTTTTCAAAATTTGAGAAGATTAGTAATTGTCGAAATATAAAACAGCTAACAAGTAAAGATTTTATATCATCTTAATTTTTGTTAATAAATTAAATTATAGAAATTAAATATCACTTGATAATGTTTATACGCGCTTCCTGTCTAATTACTTATATAATTCTTTTCTTCGTTTTGGACGTTCTTATGAACAGGATTTCTTATACTCAGGGAAGAGAATCACAATTTACAATTAAAATATATTTACTGTACAAGATTACGTTACAGTAAATATACAGTCGACCCCCCTATAACACTGTACGTGCATAACTTTCCTCATTTACGAACTCTTTTATTTTATCTCTTGACACACTTTTCAAGAGTTACTTAAAATATATTTACTGTACAAGATTACGTTACAGTAAACATACAGTCGACCCCCCTATAGCACTGTTGATAATTCCATTTTATAAGAATTCCACGTTGTACGAGTCACTTAGATTTTACAAATACGCGAACCGTTCACAGCCCAGCACACGTATTTGTAAAATCTAAGTGACTCGTACAACATGAAATTCATATAAAATAGAATTATCAACAGTGTTATGGGGGGGTCGACTGTACCTATTGTAGAATATTATTCCTTTTGTGTCTCTGATTTTCTTATCCGTTTCTATCATAATGATTTTCGCTAATCTTGGGCCTATACTTGTACCCATCGGTATCCCTTCTTTTTGGCTGTAGAAATTATTTTCATATTCAAAATAATTATTATCTATGACTAACATGCAGAGTTTTACTTTAAAAACTATTAAAATTAATTTATAGTGTTTTAAAATTTATTATTTACTTAAACCTGGTGTAGTATAATTATGTATTGATAATTTTTTTGTCATTTTGTAGTTAAAAATGATAGCCATTGTAACCCTGCTAAAGAGGAGCGTCATAGCCCGAAATACAGTTGTAAACAAAAGTATGTGTACAGGAGGCTCAATAAAGGAAGTTTGTTTTCTTTGAGAACTTTTGCTCAATTTTTCATTAATACTTAACACTAGTTTAACAGTCCTATTAATAATTTAAGTCCAAGTTGACAAATATAAAAACCAAAATTAATACCTTTTCTTTTTAGCATTAACCTTAATTTTTAACTTTATATTCCTTACATTTAATTATAAATTATATGATCAAATGGTTAATTACCTTCACTGCATGTTTTTGCATTGTTCTTGCAATAGACATTAGAAAGGCAAGTTTTGTAAGTTCTAATTTTTCTTTTATACATACATTCAAATACGAAACATCCACTAACAGCACTTTATCTTCAGTTTTCTCGTCACTCCTTCGAATAATACTTAATACTCATTGAAGAAATATTATTCTAATTAAGATTCATTTATACTTATTATTAAGGTTGAGGCTTATTCACAAAAATTGTGGAACACTATTTGGATGCAATCACACAAGGAATAAAGCTAAAAACTGAAAGTTTTCAGTTTGTAATATTGTCACAATTGATTTTGTTTTACAAATATATTTAACTGTTGATTTAAGAAATATTATCTTTTCCTACTCTGTATGTGAAAGACTTATTTTTACTTTTTTAATACTTTTTAAATATTTACTTGCAAATAGGTATGGCATCAAAGATTTCCTCCAAGGACCAAATATTCTTGTTTTTGTTTCGATTTTGCATTCCATACTTAATGAAGGCCAATTTTGACTGTGAAAGAATGATTAACACACTAGCAAGACAAAGAATTTTCACACAAGGCATTGTTACATATTTATTTGTAAGTATAAGATAACTTTGTTTTATAAATACAGTAGAGCGTTGATCACCCGAAACATCGGTTACCTGAAAGTGTTCCAGTCGGACTTTGTCATGCTGAATCAAAAGTTTTTGATACTAGATTGACTTCTAAAGTATAATTTTTTTTTGTCTTTATATTTTTCAATATATTTATTTTGTTTGTACAAAATAAAGAAATAATTTTTAATGATACAATAGCCATGATTATTATTGTAAAAATTTTCATTTGGCTTAACATCGATAAAAATTCAATGCAAAGTGACATGCAACAGAGAAAAATTTAAACATGGGATATGTTAATATACTATTATTGGGATATACAGGTAACCCCCATATAACACAGCACTTCTATAGCAGTCTAACACAGTTCGAGAATTCGGAACATCCCTGTATAACATGGTGCTTTTATAGCACGGGTTCACTCTAACACGGTTCAGGAATTGGGTAAAACCCTCGTACAACATGAAATGTAATAAAGGGTGCATTCTTTTATACCTCTGCATAACTCCGCATGAGCATTCTAATTGTTTTCTTGGCTACTTTGAATGCTCTTTCAACAAATAATCCATTTTATGTTTAAATTTTACAAGTGGAACACTTTTTTTTTCCTCTACAAGCTCATTTTAGAATTATAGATTCCTCTATCACGATACTATTGATAGTGTGGGTGCTAGCCATCTTTCTTATACCGTCGTTCCTAAATGCCTACAAACAGCAGCACACTCCCGTTGCAGAGCGACTGCTATTAACGAACGCACCTAAAAACTGTTACCAGTTGATGATGCTCATGCTGAGATCATCATATAGGATGAATAATCCTCTGGTAAAATATTTAAGTAAATAATAAATAAGTATTTTACCTATGAAAAAAATGAATAATAAATCTGATTTAAATAAGGATTTAACAGCATGTTTTTTAATTTTTGGAACCTAACCTCCCTTTTCGCACTAGTTCTTTGTTTCGTATAACACGGATTCGCATAACACAGCAATTTTTTGGAACTTAAATCTTGTGTTATACGGGGGTTACCTGTACTAATATACCATAATAATAATGTATTTTTTTGTATGTAATTGGTTATCCGAAAAATCAATTTTCCGAACAACCCCAGTTCCCAATCGATTTGGATAATCAATGCTCTACTGTAATTCATAAGTGATTTATAAAATTATTCATTAAACAAAGATGGTGCCTAATTCCTACCTCTAGGCCAAATTACTTGACATTTACTTAGTTCAGTGATTCTCAACCACTGAGAGATTTTTTAAGTGTGCCGCCATTACAAATACCCATACATAAGCGACGTCAGACAAGTAGTTCAATTAGTTCTTACTTCCTAAGACGCGTTTGGAGATTGTAACAGGTGTTGCTGGTAACTGCAGTAGTTACCAATGCATTTAGAAAATGTGATCTAAATAACAGTGTTTAAAAATCACTGTTATGACGTCACGGTTGTCCTGTGGTACTTACCAAAGTAACCGTTTGTGCCGCCAAATTTTTTAATTATTAAAAGTGTACCGTGATGAAAAAAAGGTTGAGTATCACTGACTTAGTTATTAGTAACATTAATATAGCCTGATTTAATCCACAATTATTTTGCACTGAAACAAAATCTGAATTGTCAATAATTGAGAGTATATGAATGTATTTGTATATTTTATACAAACGTCACATCTTTTAATAGCCGACACACTATGATGCTTGCAATTAATACTGATATCATTCTTAAAAATTGTCCATATTAAGAAGCATTCTATACTGACAGTATTATATTTGAAAACTGTGTATTATGGGCCAAAACCAGAATATACAATATATAACCACTGTTTCTAACCAATAGGATTAAGTGTTTAGTTTGTATTTTTTATCCTTATATCTGTCTAACTTGTGAATACAAAATAATAGCAAGCACATTTTCTGATTAATTGCTTGTGGATATATCTTTTGGATAAATTAAAATTTTTTTTATGGTCATTAATCAAAATTATTTCAATTATGTGGTTTCACTGACAGTTTTAAAAAGACAAATTTAATAGCTTATAAGATATCCCACTGAAAATATGCAAAGTATTAAAATTTTTGTTTGATATATCTTTATAAATATAAAATCTTCATCAAAACAATTTTTGTATTGTGAAAAGATTCAAAATAACAGTTGAATTATAGTAAAATTTATAACATTTTAATATTTCTCTTTTGTATGTATGCAAATGTAATCTCCAAGAAAATAATGTATAGAATTTAAAAGAACATTTGGGATCAATTATATTATATACAAGTATTAAACCAGAATTCAAATTTGTTCACTTTGATCTGCTTGAAGGCTTCAAGCCACTTACTTTAGTAGTGATTTTTCAGAGTGAATTTAGATCATTCTAGTAATAAATAAGAATAAAATTAGGTGCTAGATGCTTTGGGAAGGATTTACATCAACATACAAACCTTAAAATAAATTAAAAGAACATTTTTTCTAGTAATGAAAATAAAATATGAAAAATAAAACAGTAAATTTTCAGATGCTTATACTACTTTACTGCTTAATAACTTTGGCATTTTGCAAGGCCCAAAATTTTGAAGAAACAACCCTTGCACTGGAGTTTTTAAAATAAAATTAAAAAAAAAACCATTAAACTATAAATGCATTATTACACTCAACTAAAATAAAAGGAAATAATTTCAACAGCTACAGTTAATAGAAAACTCAAATAATACAAATTTAGTATTACCAACAAAGAAATTAATTATTACCACAACTTAGAAAACTACAATTATTCAAAATCTCAATTTGATCAGAGAAAAGAACTATGGAAGACTCAATTTTTTCAAGAAACTATGATTGCCACTAGTATATTTGTATTCAAGAGTTAGTTTTGGATATTTTCACTTAATATGGACAACTTTTAAGAATGATATCAGTATTAATTGCAAGCATTTAATACTGTTGTTGTTGTGTGTTGGCTATTAAAAGATGTGATGTCTCAGTAAGACGTAAGGAATATTGTCAAGAAAGACTGAATAAAAAAGTAAAATTAATTCCAGAAGACAGTTGTGAGAATGACATGGTTTACACATGGCATATATGGTGCATAGTTTTTGATGAATATAATGGTAAAAATTATTATTTTTTAAGCTATGTATTTTAAATAAACAAGCAAAATAAATTATTTCTATTTATAAATAAATATAAATAGATATAATTTATAGATATATATATCTAATATAGATTACAGATATATATAATCTAGATATAAATTATATCTATTTATTCATAAAATACATTTATTAATAAGTAGATATTTTACATCATCATCTGTGTGAAAACAATGTTACAAACTGCCTTCATTCTGTTTTTCACATTTTGGACAGGTAACCGCAACTTTAGCTATATGCTTTTTGTACATATAATACTTAATAAATATACATTTGTTGTATTTATGAAGTAGTAAATCATCCACTTATTTACACTCAGTAGCTGATGAAGAGAAAAAAATCCACTATTTTTCTAATTCCCTTACATTTACAGGCCTGCTTTTTTCATTTTTGTTCTTTGTTGTATATGAGAGCTTTACCAGATCCAAAGCTAAATTTTTTAGGAAAATTCTTCTTGGTTCCTTATTTCAGTGCTCAAAGCATATCACTTTTTGCAGATTTTTAAGTGTGTTATGGAGCTGGCACCATCGGAGGGACGTGCAAGTCAGATAGCTCTGACTCATGAAACAGTTATTTTTGAATGTTTGGAGTATAGAAAAGATTGTATCTAATGAATATTAAAGTTATGGTCTGAGACTCATAAACATATTTTCTTGTCATGCATTAAGAAGAACAAGCATATTATCATTAATGAAACATGGTGGCAGCGGATAATAGTTGAGGAAACGAGGCTTAACGAACATGCACTGGCTTGAAGAAGCAATTAAACACTTTGTTCAAAGGTTAATGCAGCAGCAGGCAGAAATCATCTTTAATATATTAATATAACGACTACTTTAACGTAAGTGGAAAATATGTATATAATTTATTTAAAAAGCGAGATGTATAATTTAACTCCTGGAATCCTTTTCCACGGATACGTCAAATCCAGAAAATTGGAATTTATGGAAGCAACAATTTGATATTTATGCAATGGCTATAGATATACCTGCAAAAAGTATTTCTCAGCAGAGAGCCATCCTGCTCCATATTATCGGAGATAAAGACTTAGAAATATGCAATAATTTTCATTTAGAGGAAAATGCCACAAATTTCACAGTGGATGAAATCTTAGCTAAATTCACGCACTATTTCCAGCCGTATAAGAACACTATCTATAGTAGATGTGTATTTTTGTCACTTGTACAGAAGACAGGACAAACTGTAGACAAATTTGTAACAGAGCTACATACAAAAGCTCAAGGATGTGATTTTGGCACACTAACAGAATCTTTCATAAGAGACAAAATTGTCTTAGGCATGCAAGATGATAGCATCAGACAAAAAATGCTGCAAGATCTGACATTAACATTGGCCAAAGCAATAGACATGACAAGAGTGTCCAAACTATCCAAACACTAATTAACTACAATCAGGGTAACAGAAATAACAGTGAGCAAGGTGTAAAGTCAATTTCCAAGACAAAAAGATAAACTGAAAAAAATTAAATATATATATGACCAATAAAAATAGCATCAAGAATAAAAAATACCCAATGCCTGTCTATACACAAGTATGGAAACTGTCCAGCTTTTGGCAAATTTTTTCAACATTTAAGGCGTAGAAAATAAATGAAATTGATAATCCTAATTCCATCATCATCATCTGAGATGAGGAAGATTATCCATTGGATAGAATCATTGTGCTGAATGAAGTCACGTATGAACAGTGAGAAGTCATTGAAATAAATGGGAATCCCATTAAAATCAAATTAGATACTGGAGCAGACACTAATGTTAATTCTTGGACATATTTGAAGCAGTGGACCAATTCTCCAAAGATAAAACAGACTAAGGTCAAAGCATATACGTTCATATGTGAGAGAATACCTATCGCGGTGAATATCACCTCCGACTCAAGTCTGAAAGTCATGAAACTGTGAGCAAATTCCTTGTTGTCAGGACACATGGACTACCTCTCTTGAGCAGAGATGCATACAAAAGACTAAACCATGTTAAAAGGATAAATTCCATTACACCTGAACTTAACCCAGAAAATATTTTGGAATCCTATTCCAGTGTATTTGAAGGAAGTGACAAACTCAAACATGAGGTTATAATCAAATTAAATCAAAATGCAATTCCAAAACTTGTCCCTCCTAGACAGATCCCAGAAGCTTTAAAAAACAGAAGTTAAACAAGAATTAGAGGATCTGGTTAGAAAAGGAATCTTAGAGAAGACAGAAGAGACTTCTCGTTGGCTCCATCCAATGCTCATCATGAATAAAAAACAAGGAAAATTACACTTATGTATGGATCTGAATGAGTTAAATAAATATATTATATAGTCTAATAAATACATTATTAGAGATAATTATCAGATACCCTCACCAACAGAACTGTTATCAAGCATTCCAAAAGCCAAGTGAACTCTGCTAAGAAGCCGAAAACGCTTCCATTTTGAATAAAAGCACACCTGTTTCTGCAGTGAAATGTATCTGTTTAATTTGCAATTCACTCATCACTTGTGTGAAGAAGGGTAATATTGAATGGCATGTCAAAACCTGTCACCCTAAATATGAAGATGAGTACCTGCCTAATGGTGTATTGTGCATTTTACAGAGAATAAATATAGTGTTTAATAATGAAACCAATAAGAAATTGATATAACATGAATCTAAAAGACTAATGTAAAGAATAAATGAAATAAATGAACATTCAACATGGAATTTTCCAAGATGGAGCTAAATGGAAAGGAAAGCAATGGAATTTGTTTGGCTAGACATGTGTGGTAATGCTCACACAATGAGAAACAATGCCACACTGAACAGGAAAATGTGTGGTTTTGCAAAATTAACAGTGAGGGCATGCTGACAAAAACTGAAGTAAATTTTTTTGTGAAAAGGATCGATGAAAACCGAAACTGACTATAATCAAAGTCAACAAAAACCGAGGTATCACTGTATTTCAAAAATAGTGGATAACAGTGAATGTCAGATGTTTCATTGGGTTATAAATGTACATAACTGAGTAGCACCATTGTTCTTTTTTATGTGAATGATGTTTGTGAACATCATGTTGCATGAACAATAAAAATAATGTTGACAGTACTTTTGCATTTCCTTATTTTGTTATGTAGTTCACAGTCAATGCTACAGTTGGCTATGCTACACTTTGTACTGATTTAAACTTTTTCAACAGAAAACATCATATCTAATCTTGCAAACAAAAATAAAAAATTTGTCACAATATGATGTTTGTGTTAAAAGATTGTACTAACATATTTGAAGATCAGTCATCAAAAATTCTTTGTCTTTACTTAATACAAAAGTGATGTTATTTATTGAAAAACCAAATGAAATATTTACTCATTGGTTTGTAAGATATTACTTGCTTACATTTACATGCTTAAAATGTTAAAAGTAAAATTTCACTTTCTCATGTCCTCCGACTAGAGGTCCAGTTGAATTCCTACTAACTACAAAGTTAATTTTGTATTTATACATTTTTTGGGCTGCAGTTTGAAAAAATCATAGACCTATAAATTCCCACTTGTTTGTCCATCCGTCTTTCATTACAGAGTTAGATAGATGAAAGACGAGACCAGGTATGGAAACCTTGCGGGCAGGAAACCTCAATTGACTATATACAAACTTCCAATGAAAACCAGAAGTCATGTTATTTCATATATTCAATTCAAAAATTTTCCCCTGAAAGGTGTTAGATAGATGATAGACACGACTCTATTGTTAAAGGAAAAGTATGATGTACAGTACAGGGCAAGCCACTACTAATTTCAGGTGGAGAGCATATATTTTAAATAAATTAAAAATGATTAAAAATTGCATCCTGGCATTGTGATGCTGTCACAATAAATAATTGCTCATTTTCTTTTTAAAAATAAATATTTTAAATCAGTAATAAACTATTTTATCTATTCAAGATTAAAATGATCATGATTTTTTTGTTTTCAGTAAACTGTTCCAAATTGGAGTTCATTTAGGAGCAGGCCAAATACTAAACTGTTACATAGCAATTAACATTCTTGGATTTTGGCAAGGCCAGACTCCTGATCTAGACTGTGTCAATCTGATACCAACATTTTTAAAAAGATAAGAACAACACATATACAACCTTGTTATCAGGTTTAAATTGTGTAAATGCTGATAGTGATATATTTCATTATTAGATCATAAATAGTGCAGATGCAGGTACAAAGCAGAAGAGAAATAGAGAGTTAAAATTTTTTCCAGAAGTAGAAGTAGGTTACAAATGAAAAGATTTTAATGATGAAAATTTCCTTATTCATCATTATAATATAAAAATTTAGTATTTTTAAAATGCATATTATCTTTCAATACGTGAAAAACTGGAAAAAACTATTATTGATGATAATATATTATCAGTTTCTAATTAACTTAATTAATGTTCTTGCTTAATATTTATTAACATAGATTCACATTAGTTAAAAAACTTGAATGCAATTGATTTTTTTTAAGAATAATAGTATTTTCTTAGAAATCTTAAATCTTTCTTCAAGTTTTAGTAAATGGAAAAACATGTTAAAGATATCGTGTGCACCATCATTTTTTACAATAGACTGTAAAGTAATGAAATATGCAGAGAGCTTCATTAATTAATAATAATAAAATTATTATTTTATTTCTTTGCAGAGTATCAAAAATAATTTGGAAAGAAAGGAAAAGTTTCTCAGAATTGTGAACCTGAACAAAAAAGCTGTTTTAACTTTCAGAAATATTTTAATTAAAACTAGAAATGCGAAATGCCTGAGCATTATTATAAATGAATATAAAAAAATGATTTCTGGAAGGTAGGTGAAATATATATTCAAATTTTACACCAATTTTATACTCTATCTTTTAGAATTCTACATGTTTTTAAATTGTGAAAATGTTTGTTTTAACAAGAGAACAAAAACTAGCATTCATAGTCATTACGCATTGTGTATAAATCTCTCTATATAAAATTTATTTCTTTTAAAATAATTTTAACAGAGCATACACAAATAATATAACAAAATAAGTTATGAAAGGTTTTTGAAAAGCAAGATAACACCAGTCACAAGTGTTTATAAGTATTGCCCATGCAGTGTGGCACAATTTTCACTCCTTCTGACTGCATACAGAAAATGTGCAAGTGTGGTCTAAGACAAATGCTTTTGCTTGCAAAAAAAATGAATATTACAGTACTTTCACTTTATTTTAAAGCATAAAAGTATAACAAATTTAAAAATAGGATATTTTTTCTAACATCATCCTCTACCCTAAGTGGTAATTTTGTATTTTTCTCATTAACAAGGAAAAATATATACTAGATTAAAAGCTAAATAAAATTGAGATAGAGTTAAATGTGAAAATTTCCAACCAGTCATTTAAATAATTGATTATTTACTAGAATAATCCCAAGTGGTCATTGTAAATGTTATTAAAATAGGCAATTAGATAATATGTGAAAACAATTTTTTCATGATTCTTTGTATTTTATTAAATATTAATTACAATATCAAATTAAAAACTTCATATTATGTTATGAAGCAAGCAGTCAACATTGTTTTTAACATTTTTATTACCAGTGTTAGACAAATATATAGTCCAAGACTGTTCATTTTGTTTTTTTCTATTGTTTTCTGCTTTTGTTTTTAATATCAATCACATTGAAATTATAAAAAAAGAATTGATTTGAATATTGAAATAAAAGAATGAGTAGTGCCAAGTGATCGTTATTACGGTACATTGCGTTTATAAAACAAAGAATTGATTTGTAGATTAGATCCTAAAAGAATGAGTGAGCATTTGCACTTGCAAAACTGAGACTTAAAAGTTGGCCACAATATCTTTATCTCAAAAATATTAAATCAAAAACCAGTTTTGGATGTGTCCAAAACACATTGCTCATTATAATTAAAGTTCAATATACAATCAAGATTTAATTGCTTTTTGTAGAAATGAATATAAAGGGTTTTTCAAATTGAGTGCCTTTTTTAAAAATAAATAAAATATAGATGGCACAGTGAATTTGTCTGGATATTTTGACAGTTAAAAAGTGTGACGTATGACATTTATAAAAATGGCTTTGTTCATGATACAACAACGCGTTCAAGTTGTTGAATTATTTTATGAAAATCTGGTAATGCTGTAACAGTGAATGGTGTTCAATATTGTGAGATGTTAACTGAATTTTTGTTTCCTGAACTGAATGATATTGATCTAGAGGATATATGGTTTCAACAGGATGGTGCAACACCTTATTTTGCTAATGAAACAATTGCTTTATTCAGACAAAAATATTCTGGAAGAATTATTGCAAGAAATGGTGATGTGAATTGGCTGCCAAGATCATATGATCTAACACCGTTGTACTATTTTCTTTGGGGTTATGTAAAAAGCCAGGTCTATAAGAACAAACCAAAGTCAATTCCTGAAATGAAGGATGAAATTATTTGTGTCGTTGGTGAAATAGAGTATCAGTTATGTCAAAATGTCATAGAAAATTTTAACAAAAGAGTGAACCACTGAGAAGCAGCAGAGATGCTCATTTGTCAGATATTATTTTTCATATATAAATGTCATAACTGATACTTCAATTACCAATAAAAAGTTTTTAAAAATGTATGCAAATTATGTCTGATTTATTTTTTAAAAAAGGCACTCAATTTGAAAGAAACTTTGTAATTGGGATGAACCTTAAATCAAGAAATTTTAAAATGGGATTTTACATATATTTAAATGACACAATAAACTTGGCAAATTTTCTGCTTTTAGCAGAACCGAAAAGTATATATAAAAGCAAAGTATTTTAGTGCAAATAGAGGCAGGAAATTTACTTAATATATTCATTCTAGAGTTAACAGTTTTAATTGAAATGTCAGTAGCATTCCCTTATTTTATAGAAATTGCTACAATTAAAAAAAAAAAAAAAAGGAGTAAAAATCTGCTTCCTATGATCTTCACTGCAACTTTGTTTATTAGAAAATCTATCATTGAGATTTATTAGGCTGCAATTTGAATAAATTTTAGACCTATAAATTCCCACTGTTGTCCATCTGTCTGTCTTTCCTTAATCTCGAGAATGGTGTTATATAAATGAAATTAATAACAAGATATGGAAAATATAGGCACAGGAGGCTCTCAATAAAAATTTTCCTCATGAAAGGAATTAGATAGCAATGGAGTTGTGCCGGTCATCTAAACGGAAAAGAATGATTTGTAGAAGACACTACAGAACTAATTTGAGGTGAAGAACATAAATTTTAAATTAAATAAATTTAAAAATATTATTAAAAATTGCAGCCTGGCATTGTGATGATTTTACAATAAATAATTATAAGAAATCTTAATGTAATTTAAACTTAAAACAAAATAAGAGTTCTTGCTACATAATTGCTGAGAAACATTTTTCCACATTTCTTTTAGAGCAAAGACTTATCAATTATCATATTATTTTTCAGCTTTCGAGAATTATCTGACAATGACATTTTGTAATGAGTGGGAAGAAGTTCATTATGATTTGTTAGTTTCTTTAATGGTCTGCACATGAACATTTTTTTAAGAGCAATATAGAAAACTCATTTATTTGAATGCTTGATGATAGCAATAACTTTTGAATACTACTTCATAACAGTCATTATGATCATCTCTTAGGTATTTTCAACTGTCCAACAAAAAATAATACTGTATTTCCTCACTTTTCAGAAATAGTTTATAATTAATTATTTACACTAATGCATGCAGATGTACCTACAGTTCAGAGCTTTATAAAATTATATCTTTTTATTATTACAGGTCACCTAATGCATGAAAACAACCATCACTTCTGCAGTGTTTTAATGTTAATTTTAAACTTCCTAAGTGTCACGTTAAAAAATTAGTAATGATGTTAATATGAAAATTATTTAAAATTTGTTGAAAATGGCAGTTCGTTTAACGGAAATTGTCATTCAAAATAAAAAATTTGTGATAGTCAATGTCAAGTTTCAGCAGTTCTGTCCATGCCTTTGCAGAGGTGTCTTCTAAACTAGAATTTCTAGTCACAATTTAGAAATTCAATGCAACAGAAGTGAGATTTTAAAATTTTATAAGAGTATTAGTAATTATTGCTATTAATAATCAAATTATTATACATTTACTAACTGTACAAATAAATAATATATATGAACATATAAAGAAATGATACTGCCAAATATTAATCATGTAATAGTTTTAAAATTATAAAAAGGTAGGTAGTCAAGTTGTCATTTTGTATTTGCATCTGCATGGTTAGTAGCAGTTGCAGGTTTGAATTTTGCTTTGGATCGATCCGTTTTTCTGGAATAATTTAAAGTGATATGATTTGTAAAGTTAAATCCAGGGCTGTGGAGTCGGAGTCATGGAGTTTTGATGTTTTAGCCGGAGTCGGATGGTAAGGAAAAGTTGGAGTCGGTAGATTTTTACGTGACTTCCACAGCCCTGGCAGGGCTGTTGAGTCGGAGTCGTGGAGTTTTGGTGTTTTAGCTGGAGTCGGATGATAAGAAAAAGTCGGAGTCGGTAGATTTTTACGCGACTCCACAGCCCTGGTTAAATCTTTACTGTATGTTGGGTATGGTTTAAATGTAAATATGTATAGTTACATCATAAAAGAGCTTCTTCACTTGATAATTGTTGAAGCTAACATATCAAATACAGATATCACACTGCTACTGGTATCTCTGCTAAGTCTCGGTTAACATTAAAATGACACTCATGTCATCAGAATTCAACTTTATTACTGGTATGCATTTTGGTACGTAAGACTTCCACCAGCCATACATAAAAATATATTGGTATCTGTCGCAGAAACATATTCACAGAGAAACTGACAATAATTACAATCTACAATTTAAAGTTTCTTCGTTAATATGTTTCTGCGACAGATACCAATATATTTTTACGTATGGCTGATGAGGATCTTGTGTATCAAAATGCATACCAGTAATAAAGTTGCATTCTGATGACAGAAGTGTCATTTTAACGTTATCAGTAGCAGTGTGATAAGTTTCAGTTACCTCTACTACTGTATTTGAGATATTGGTTTCAATATATAGTTAGTTTGATAGAGAATTGAATCTATAGATTCATCAGGAAATGAATTTTCCAAATGCAAACAATGCTCGCTTTTTCACTTGAATTCAACACAAAACATCACTCGTCTGTTGAAAATTTTCTTTTTTAATTAGTTTTAGTTATATTGATGATTTTTACTTTACGAATCATAGATCGGTTCATAAATGCACTATCAAATGAATACCAAAAACTTTCAACACTGGAACAGAAAATGACAATAAAATTTATTTTTGTATATTGTATTTATATACATATAATAATTAATAATTGTATTTATTAATTATTTAATTCTGTAAAGAGATTTATAATATTTTTTATTTTCTGTTCCACTATTATAAGCTCCTGACAATCACTTTAACTGCATTTGTGAAGCAACACATGACCCATAAAATAAAAATCCTCAATACTTAAAAAAGAAAAAAATGTTCAACAGACAAGTTATGCCTTATATTGAATTGCAGTGAAAAATCAAGCATTGTCTCTATTTGGACAGTTAATAAAATCTAAAATAATTTGATTATTAACAACAATTAAAGCCCTTAAAAAATTAAATTTATACTCAAATGGTCAAAAGAGACAAAGGTTAATAATTGTTACAACTTTTGAAACAGTCAGCAATTTGTTTTCTTTTATATGTATAATTTTATAATAAACACTGTTTGATGATATGTTTCAAAGTAATTTATTTTATCAGAATTCACGGTTGAGAGTTCAGCGACAAGAACAAATTATAAACTGAACTGACCATGATTACAACAACATTAAAAAAACAACTGCAAATTATTTACAGTAACAGATTACACAGTTGCCATTTCAGTCATTTGAATTTTCATTTTTTTTGCTTTATCAAACATTATTATTATGAACATTAATCTATTACAATTGTATTTTCATGAATCAGGTTTGTAATTTCCCAAATCCAAACTTTTTTAGAGTGCTTATGACAAATGAAAATTATTTTAGAATGGATATATACAGTACTTGAGTCGGAATAGTACAACATTACAATGGAACATGGTTAATTCAAAATATGACTGCTGTTAACTTTGCAGTGGTCAATTTTTTTAAGCAATAAATGTCGAATAGTATGATGTTTTGTCTTCTTGGCTAATTTTTTTATATATCTAATTGATTGCAAATAGTCAAATACAGTCGACCCCTCTATAACACTGTTGATTTTTCTGTTTTATATGAATTCCATGTTGTACGAGTCACTTAGATTTTACAAATACGTGTGCCGGGCTGTGAACTGCTAACGTATTTGTAAAATCTAAGTGACTCGTACAACATGGAATTCATATAAAACGGAAAAATCAACAGTGTTATAGGAGGGGTCGACTGTATAATGAAAATCCCTTATATTAAGTATATAGTTGATGCAAAAATATATGTAAACATGACAAATACCACCCTGACAAAAAAACACCTTGGACAGCATATCATTTGAATCAATTTCTAGTTTAAAGGTTATTAATATAAAATAATAATTACTGAAGATTTTTTTACATTAAAAATTTTTGAATGTTAACAATACATAAAAAAGTTATGAAGCAGCTAAAAAAAAAGCATATGTGACAAAAGGGCAAGAACGAGTAATATGTGTAAGGACAAGAACGAGAAGGCGGCGATTGTATACGTGGACTTCTCCCTATGGAGAATATCGTAAACAGATTGACTACTTCCTGTGTCAGCAAAAGTGGAAGAGTTCAGTTTCGGCTGTGAAAACGTATCCTGGCGCCGATTGAGGAACGGATCATAAAATGCTCGTTGCCAAAGTGAAACTAAGGTTTGTAATATCAAGCGACCATCAGCGACGCCAAAATCTGACTTCTGTTGAAATTTGGTTTGACTTTACGAACTTACCCATTATTAAAGACTTCGATACAAAAATGAAAATTTGTGAATTGGCAAAGAAGTTTGATCTAACGGAATTGTCGATCAGAACAATTATAAAAGGCAAAGAAAAAATTCTCGAAGCCGCGAAAAATGCTCGATCTTTAAATTCAAGCATCATTTGTAAACGTCACGGTATTATCGCTGAGATGGAAATAATGTTAAAATTATGGCGTAATAATCAAGTAAATGTGAAAAATTGTAAAATAATATAGGCCTAATTTGTTATACATATTTATTATCTAAGATTTTATTAAACATTTTTTTCTAAATTATTGTTTTCTTTAGTCTCCGGCCCCAATTAAAAATTATTTGTATGTATTTATATGC